TTTCTTCATCATCGTCATCTTCTTCTTCTTCTATCTATCTATCTATCCCTTTCCTTTTCTTCAAGATTGTAGAATTGTAGAATCAAAATGGCGATGGTTGGTCAGTTCATTCGTTCATTCGTTGATTCGTTCGTCCTTCCACAACGGATTCAGATTCTTCTAGAATTTGTGCTATCATCTTCCATATGTAATATAACCTTGAATATAATACATCCTATCTATATATACATATATGCATATGCATATACTTAAATACTAATATACATCCTCACACATACATATTATATCTACATCTAAACCTTTTGTATACGTAAAAGCATGCAATAAAAGAAATAATCAAAATTGAGGAATGTTTTGAACAAATATTCATCTGATAAAAATAATTATTGATCCTTCATTTTTTTCTATTATGAATTAGAATAAAGAAATCGAGGGAAAATGAAACGTCGGGAGCCCCGGGCAAGGAGCCCGATGGTCGAACGATAGAGGAGGAGAGTCGAAAGCAGGAAAATTTTATGGGTAAATCGATGTTGCATGCGATTCCAGTACGACAGAGAGAGAGAGAGAAAAAGAGAGAGAGACAGTGAGAGAGAGAGAGAGATGAGAGCGGTCACAAGGAGTGGAGTTGAAGAAGGGCGGAGTGAAGGGAAAGAGGAAAGAGGAACGCGTGTGGCAGACAGATGGGTGAGAAGGGGAATTCGCGATTTGTGGACCGTGCGACTGCGTCTATCTTTTTATCTATGTGTGTTTGCTCACGTACACGTATACGTAACAGTATATACAAACGCATGTATCAATCTATCTCTCTTTCTCATGTATACACTCATATTAGTATTCTGCTGTGTATACACCTATTACACCAATACATTTGAAAATAACACATGTGTGTTACCAATATATACAAACACATGTATCAATCGATCTCTATTTCTCTCGTACACCTATTACAACAAACATTTGGAAATAACACACGTGTGTTACTAATATATATACAAACTCATGTATCAATCTATCTTTCTTTCTGTTCATGTATACACCCATATTAGTATACATGCACGTATTCTACTACATATACACCTCCTAACACACAAGTTAAACCGCTTTCCTATGAATATACCTATAACAAATAGTATGAGTGTTTACACCAACACATTTTGTACGAGGTGGAAATGCAGTAGTAACAGTGTATAGTATTACTGTATGTGTGTGTGTGTGTGTGTCGGGTGTGAGATAGAGTGAGAAAGTGGGAGTGGGAGTGAGAGAGAAAGAGAATGAGTTAGAAGAGGTGAGGGAAGAGAAGTAAAGGGCGCTGTTTGAAATCTGGGGCGGGGATAGAGATCCGGGCTTTGCGCTGTGCACGCGACCTTGAATAGCAGCCAACCTAGACCTTGCCACGGCTCTCTTTCGCTCGGTTTGCCTAGTCCAGAGAGAACGCCTCGCTTGTTTTTCTCGTTCGAGATCGACGTTGGACTGAAAGTCCAACTTATACTCCTCCCTTCTCCCTTCACCCAACATCTTCATCACCATCTTCATCTTCTCCTCCTACTCCTCTTCCTCTTCCTACTCTTCTTCTTTTTTTTCTTTTTCTTCTTCTTCTTCTTCTTCTTCTTCTTCTTCTTTTTCATTACCGGTACCTCATAAGAATCGTAATTCGCTCTTACGTAAAATCAACCAAGCACGAATCTTATCTAATGTCTTCCAAATTAATTCATCTTCTCTCTTTTTTTTTTATCTATCTATGTATTTATTTTTTTCTTTCTATCTTTCGCAAATTTTCAAACTCTTCTATCTTGTGTAACGATGTGAGATAGGAAAAATACTTCGTGCAAAACTATTCGGAAATATAATCGTTTACTTTTGCTATCATCGTTTTGTTTTATTATTATTTTCATATCCAATGATGGTTATCTTAGGTTGTTCATTTCTTAAAACATCTCATAATGGATATAATAGATTCTAAAACATTTTATAATATTTTTTTTTCTCATTACGTAATGATATCTTTTTTTTACTAGAATCTTCTGGATCTTTCTTTTTTTTCATGTCAATCGACGAATTACAAATTTGACGAATATACATCATTTTGATCAGAAATATACGATACTGTATATGTTATATTTTGTTTATTTAATAATTGTTTTGTTTAATTAGAGAATCTCTCTTGAAAGTGAAAGGAGAAAAATGAAATCTCGTATGATTTGAACGAAACATGTACTTTGTACTTATTGTTAAATAAAGTTATCAATTTTTTTTTTGTTTTGTTATTTTTACATAATGAGAGTGATAAGAGGAAGGAAGAAAAAATAGAAAGAGAAAGAGAAAGAGAAAGAGAAAGAAAAAGAGAGAGAGAGAGTGTGTGAGAGAGTTATGTTTACTATAACATGCTCGTTCTCATCGATCATGAAAAGACTCAACGAATCTAACGTCATCGATCAGTATTCCTCTCTTAACGATGCAACTTCTTTTATATAGCTACACAACATATAACGATAAAAAAAAAAAAGTGAGAGAAAAAAATCTGCAAGAAAAAGCAAGGACAAAGTATATTCTACGAGAAATCAACTGATTCCTACGTGGATACAATTTCAATGCCCTACTTACTATTTCTATAACATACAGTAATAATAAATTGAACAGTAAATAATAGCAAAATTCTCTAACTTTTTTTTTTCTTTTTATGTAATATAATTTAATATTGGATCTAATCAAATGTAAATGATAAAATTTCCCTGTGATTTTAATAATGTTCCAAATTTTCATTATCAAAATATATAAAATATATATAAATATTATGTAATATAATATGAATCAAAAGTTTATATTACATTTAATTATTAATATAATTATATTGCAAATTATATTATAAACTGCATAAAATAGATATTGATTTTTTGTAAAATTTACTTTGGAAATATTAATAATAATATATTAAATATAAATAAAGAAACCCCCCTATTAAGATCAAATATCAATTAATGATATTAACAATATTATCGAAAAGGAAAAATATATATGCGTTCGTACATGTGTGTCATTCAATCTAAAATAACGTAATATTAAATATAGAATGTTCGAGAAATAGTTTCTCTCGTGAGTGGTAAAAAGAAGAAGAAAAAGCCAAAAAAAAAGGAAAAAAAAATAAAAAATTGTATTGAGGAAGTAAAATGTAAAAGCATCTTGTTCATTGGAACGGCGACGATGACGACGACGACGACGACGACGACGGTAGCTATTGGGTGGGATTATAACGGACCCTTGGCCGCGACCGCGCCTAGAATCTCTTAGACCATCACGACGTAACTCTACCGCTTGCTAGCAAACTTGCTTACTTATCCGTTACCCACTTTCTTTCTTTTCTTGACCATATTTTTATCTCTCATCATCACCATCATCATCATTCTGATCCTTTCATTCTTTCATCATCTTCATTCTAGTGTCCTTCTGTCCTTTAGCCCATCAACTTTTCCTATTTCGTATCTGTCTCGTATCTTTCTTCTATTTCTTCTTCTTTTGTCATTTTCTTTTTATTCTTTTTCATTTTATTTATTTGTTCTTCTTCTCCTAATCGCACTTCTTGACTTTTTTTTTTCTTCTTTTTCTTTTTCCTATTTTTTTTTTTTTTGCATTCTTCTTTAACGCTCAACGACGAGTTAGCAGCGGCATCTGCCACGCGAATTCTGAATTTACGCCTAGAAATATATGTATCTCTATGTATTTTGTATTTATTCGTGTGTGTGTGTGTGTGTGTAAGTGTGTCCTCGGTTATATTACGTTTCGCACATTTAAACAGAGAACCAACGCACGATCGTCGATGACTATGTCATCCTCGTCAGTCGTTGTGTTGTAAGAATCATCAACGCCATCTTTATTTTCTAAATTATTTATTCACCTAAAAAATTATTCTGAAAAATATTTATATTATTTATATGAAATTAATTTTTTATTATTATTATTATTATTATTATTTCTCTTATCATTTTCTATGATACAGAAATACGAGTAAGATTTTTTTTTTTTTTTTTTTTT